GCCGTATGCAACACAAAGAGGGTGAGAATTTATTTGATGGTCGAGCATTCAACTTTCAATAACCACAATACAACAACTTATTAATAACTACAGTGCAACAACTTTCAGTTCTCAATAGCTTTCAACTGATGGCCGAGCTTCCAAATCTTGGACGTCATTGTGGCGCAAAGCTTTGCAATCAACTAGGTTGGTATTCTCCTTCTTTCATGGCATCAGTGCTGCTTACCTATTGTTTATAAGTCGCTACCGTAATACTTCAACACGACACCATGTTTGTAATTGCATAGTAAATATTTTTCTGCGTATCCTTCACTAGTTTGTAATTCCAGCAAAACTGTTTATCCTGCTGATCATATGCAACGCTTCATTTAGATTTTCGTCCTATTCGATGTGATGCATGTTCGGCGAAGATTTTGGTGAGTTTATCTAATTGTACTTCAGCTTTTTAAATTATTATCGTGATCTCTCGTCTACTACGCGACTTCTAATCTTACTTCAGCTGTCGTATTTCACTTACGAAAGTCAGGGTTGCTTACAAGAAGGTAAGTAGAGTTTCAAGATTTAAATTAGTATTTTGAAGATTATACGCCACAGATACATCTCTTTAAACTGCTTTGTAACTATCATTTTGTTTCCACGTCCCATTATCATCATATTTATGAGGTTTTCTAGAAAGTGCAAGTACCGACCTGTCCCCTCTGTGATAAACCTGTGCCTACACCAAAAGAGAGTTTCTCCAGATGTCCAGGTGAGGGTAAAAGAAGACGACTCAATGAATTAAATTTCGTACGCGCTGTTCAGGTAGACGAGCATATCCAAAATAATTGTGCCCAGGTCCAAAGAAGAAAAATTTTGCGAACATATGCGTTGTGAAAGGGTGTAAAAAGAAGGAGGTTGGTTTCCCTCATAATTTTTCTCTCGCAACCCTCAGAGCTCCTCTATGGTAATCGCTACACTACGGGCAAATAATACTAGCCATGACATTGGATTAGATATCTGTTGTTTCAGCTTGTTTTCATCACGTGTCCTTGCCATCAGAATTACTGCCTGGTCATCGCCATGAGAAAGATCACAATTGTGGACAAGCCAGAGGCAGTCCTGCTCTTTCAAAGGCTGCGAAAGCATACGTTCAGGTGAAGTAGACATGAGATATCACTAAGTGTTTTGTTCGCCTGTATTTATGTCTTGTATTCGTTTAGGAAAGGACGAGGCCATAAGCTGAATCTATGGATGAAGTCTCCATAAGTCTCAAAGAGCGAATAGGAGGTCGGCGGAACAGTTGCAGGCGCAGGAGTATGGGTTAGTCGTCACTTATGATGTGTAAATTAGTGTTCACATGTGGTATGTAATCGATACCAGTACTGTGGCATAGATTGCAATTGATGCTTCAGGAATAACCCAGTTAGACGCTGAAGCACACGAGCCGTCTCTGGCAATACAAATAACTGTTCTATATCCTAATCTCCTTACAAAGTATTCCTTTTCATGTTCTTTTTTTGCCCTTCACTTTCAGGCAGGTGGCAGCTTGAGTCTTATTTCACGGCTAGTGTCAGAAATATCACCTCGATTTTCCAAGACCAAATTCAAGTTTTTCCCCTTATAATCGCACGGTTATTTGCATGAAAATGTTCACGTGTATAAATAATTATGAATTCAGTTATTCGTTGTGATTGTTTACTAGTTCACGGATAGAATGTTGTGATCAATAGATTCTCTTCCACTGTAACTCTTATAGAGTTAGATTTTTGGATATTTTCGGTTTTTTTTTGAAATCGTTTTCATTCCAACTGGTCGACATTTGATGATGACGTGATACAGCTTGGGTGAGACGTCTTCCGCTCTTTCAAACCTTTACTGCTCTTTCCTTTCCTTTCCACTGGTCGGAATAACACATCGCATTGTTGACAATTTTGATTCAGTATTCTTTCTGACGGAACTGTCACTATTTTTTGCATACCTCGATTGACAACGTTTTACGTTCGCTGCACTACACTCGTTCTATTGTTGCTATGTTCGTAGTATAAAGATTGGCGAAATTTCAACGACAAAAGAGCGTTCATTTTCTTTTATAACATTGTTCAAGTAGTAAACATGTTGCATCGCAACAATTTCCATGCACGTTCCTTTGATAAACTCTATGAGCAGGCGGTTCAGCAACCACGTTTTAGGGTGCGCGTCATAGAGAGAAAATGATTTCAAGCCACTGATTCCTGACCCGAAATGTTCTTGCCATAGGTGAGATTCCGAAAAGATTCTCTGGTGACGGCCCTTCAAGAAGCAAATGGAAGTGTCTCCGCTGCCAACATTTGTGAGAGCCCTGCGGGTAAACGAGTTCTGCTGAACTTTGCATAATCAAAGATGGCTTTCTGGGAGCGGCATGCAGCGGCAACATTTCCATGATGTTACGATAGTGCGTGGCAAGGAATGTTCAGTGGTTACAGTGCTGTGAATTCGAGTGAACCTATTTATTCTCTCTGAACAAGTATTGGCCTCATGATACCAGTATTCTCAAATGACGTGAGATCGATAAAAGGTTATGAACATACAACGAATCAGTAACACATAACAACTTTTAAGATTTTTACGTGAGTCACGGAATCTCCGGTGATCTTGTCAAACGGCTAAAACAGGTTTTCCATGCTAGTTTTCTTGATCAGCTATCTCTTCAGAGCCCTGGCTGTTGTAAGTTGTTTTTTTTGCCGCCTTTCGCGTCTGACTTGCTTTCTCTGAAAACAAAACTCAATTGGTGACTGTATTAGGGCAAGTTTTGGGAAGCCATTCTCACGGTTTTATATTGAACAATCGATTTGGGTTTAGGAGTTTTTCCTTGTGACTGGACAGACTGTCATCCTTGGCGAGGGACCTATTCAAACTAACCACACCGTGGTGGACGAGCACACGATCTATGCCTTCTTGCTCAATCGTAATTGCGGACGCTGCCTTATAGCGCCGGCTGTGAAGTACCTTCCGAAGGCACCTAGCGTGGCGATTCTGCGTCAGAATGAATTCCCAGCCTGAAAGCGCAACAGTTGCTGCTAACATTCTGAAATGAAAATCAGTGGAAATGTATGCAACTTGTAGAGCTCACTCCTTTTAACTTCTGGTATTCCACATTCGTTTCGTCTTGCTGTGAAATCTCCTGGAGTACTTCAACTGAAGGTTTCACATGGTATCGACTGTCCGCCCATATCCTCTGTGCCGAGATCACATGTCTCCTCTACGTCCACAATGACAGCCGAAGTTTGCGAAACTGTTTCATGGCTGGATGAATGAGGATGCTGTACGGTTCGGCAGAAGTTGTCGAGCTGGAAAAATGCAAATCTCGAAATCCCCAGTGAATTTGACTAATAGATTACCTTCAGGTGCATAAATCGCGACGGCGTGGCTATGTATACAAGAAACTCCTGCGTTCATTGAGTCCGGGCAGTCGCATGTCACTTGGAAGAAACAGACTCCGCAACGTTCACAATGGGAATTATCCTGCACGGCACTTCCTTGTTAATATGTGAAGGGTATTGGACGAATATATGAATTAACTGTTAAAGCACGAACCATACTGTCACAGTTGCACGGCAGCCCTATGTACACCGTATAAAGAACTTCCTCCTTTGATTTAGAAGCGACTCCCCACGTATTTTCCCTGAGTGGGATTATGAGACCCTTAAACAGAATCGCATCTGCTTTATTTCAAGAAGCGCTGAAAGCAAAGCAGGGAAAACCTCTCACCTGCCTCTCAGCGTAATGCGTTATAGCATCTCTGTGTCTTCGTAAAGTTTGGGTGCGTCGGCCTTTGCCGTCCGTCGAGCATCTCATGGCCTATAATAAAATTTCCTTTGAAAAATGAATCAGAGGTTGACGGTGAAGCAGCGCACCTGTGAAATGAGCTTCAGCTCCAAATCTGCACTATGTCGCACCAGCGTATAAACAAGGTTGTCTAAGCGGCTGTTTTGTTTTTCATGCAGGAGATTATGTTTCAGCAAATGATGCCAAGATTCTGCGTGATTGGAAGTGGCAAAAGGAGCTATCCTTCCTGTAGCATGGCGCCCACTCTCCTTTTCGTCCAGAATAGAACTTTTCCATGTACTGCAACACCATTTTATAGGTAGTTACACTTTTTTGTATACTGCCTACTCTATCATACTTGTATAGCTCCCACAGCATTTTTTGAGCCGAGCCAGGTGATGAAAGCAGCGTATTGTTCTTCGAAGACAGCAGGGGTTGCTTGATGAAATAAATTGCGAAATAGCCTTAACCCCAATCTTGCATCGTCCGCCTATAAGGAACTTCAAAGTATCCTATCAGCAAGATTCAAAGAAATCACTTTGATTAGGCGTTACCTGCAAGAGTTCACTCAGCTTTTTTTTACACTTTTAGAAATATGAAAAGAGCATAGAATTTTTTGTGCTCTGCTTTGCGGGAACGTCGCGTTGTACGCGTTATAAAATACATTTGTATCATCTGTCATTATATATCGAGCATCAAAATGTGGGATCCACTTCTAAACAAGTAATTATTGAATATTTTGTACGTGTTAATTGTTTTACTCAATGATTTCTGAAGCTTACCTTAACTAGGCCGAATAAGACAGAAACTTCATCGGACGTCATACGGTAGCTGATTAGGAAACAGCAAGGGAATCCTTTGCCGGCATCGTTCGCAACAAGCAAAGTCGCAAGTCGGAAGCAGTAACGTGTTACATCAAATGTGTCATCGAATACAAGACCATTGCATCCGTATCTTTCCAAGTATTTTTTACCACTTCGTGTCATCAGAGCTAAAATATAACATTATGCCTAACGATTATATCGCTGTCTTGTAACGTTGCCCTTCTTGTAACGCTGTTACCTAATACAATAAGAAAGAAAGAAGATGTAGTGAAAAGGAAATAGGTCAAACAAGAAGTGGTTCGTTTCGCCTCTACCTCAGACGAACCACTGTCTGCCGTCAACCCCTTTGAGGCTCCTCAGTGAGGTAGGGGTGACGACAAAAACGCTGTTATCAGAGATGTCAAAAAATTGGATGAACCAGATGGCATTAACAAAACAAAATAAAACTAGGCATAGTTAACCAACTAATGACCAAGGTATTAGGAACAATGTCTAGTAGAGTCCAATGTTGTATCTTGATAAGATACTCAGTATACGCAACTAATTTTGAGCGCGAAAGGAGGGACTACAGAAATAATCCATTATGACTACAGTAATCCAAAATAGATATATACCAACCGTATATAAATGTATTAGCAATAGGATAGAGACTTCCAAAAACTATGGAAGCATGTTATTTACCAGTTTGGTAATATTTTTTATATTATCGTGCAAAGCATACTTGTAGCAAATAAACTTATTTTTATACATACATTTAATAATATTAGGTATAATAAAATCCCTTCTGTAGCCATTATTCAACAAAACTGAAATCATATCTCTGACTTTGACACAGAAGTTACTAAACCGTCTACAAGTGTTGGCTATTCTGAGAGTTTCAGTGTAGATAACTGCTCCTTTATTTTTAATGGAGATATTGGAAGTACTATGTGGGAATTTAATGACTTTGAAGTTGAAGTCATCCGTTTTATTATATAACATTGTATCTACGCAATCATCATCTACTGAAATGGATAAGTCTAAGTAATTACTACTTTTCTCGTTATTATGAGTTTTTTTGAAAACAAGCGCATTGTTATATATATTACTTTTAATAATCCTTCAATGTCATTTTCATTCTGATTAAATATTTATCATTGTTGAATTTCACTTTCTTAGAATAACTAAATTCCATAACTGCAAGTGTTAGATCTGCCAACAAGGGGCTGAAATTGCCTCCCTGCGGAACTCCTTTGTTCTGCTTATATATGTTGTTTCCAAATATACAAAAACTATTACTCAAAACATAATCTATCAAATACAACAGGTCCTCTATTTTATAATATCTGAATTTGTTAAACGAATTGTTATCAGTATAAAATACCTTGTAACCGTTCGTTGCTATAAAGGACTTGTTAGCATTTTTGAAGCATATATTCAATAACTCTCGCATATTTTTGACAATGAGACTATGTTCAAGATTAGTGAACATGTCAGTAAAATCTGCAGTATAGATCTTGATACCTTTGAGCATAATTTTATTAAGCTCATTACTGATATTGATGTTATCAATGGACCAGAAGGTTTTTATAGTTTTACCACGTTCTTGTGTGACTTTAGTATAATTCTTAAAGTGGTTCTTAATAAACGTGAAAACCGTGTGTAACTCTTTTGCCAACGGTTTGACACTACTACTATGAGCTCCTGTTATAAATCTAAATTTAACTGGTTCTTTATGCAATTTTGGCAGTGCATAAATAACTGGTAAATCCGCATTAACTTCCATGATAATACCATTATTATTACAAAAACGTCTATGTTGTTCAAATTATGGAATATTTACTGCAACATTGTAGCTTTTCATATGTATTGTTCGTACTAACATAATTATATCTATTCATTCGTGAGTCATCATAATATATGCCCATTTCTTTCATAATTATATACAAATACAGTTTTTTACAAATTAAGCCATAATTATTGCTAGCTTTGTCTAAGGGGCAAAAGACATATTCTTTTTTGTAAGCATTGATTGTTCTGTAAGGAATTCTTTCCCCCGTACTTTTCAAATTAGCACTAGTTAACAAAGGTTTAACTTTTTTGTGATAGTTATTATTAAAATATTTGATAATCTTATTGACTTCATTTATTCCAGCCTTGTATCTTTTCTTGAAGTGATGTACTGCCTGTTTAACCATTTCTTGGTAAACTTTTCTAACTTCTTCTCTGGTTACACCATCATCTATTCTATATTTTGTGCCTTTACATAATATATTCCTTAGTTCTCGTTCTCTGATGATATTCAGATCCCCTGTGATAACATGTCCATAATAGTCATTGATATACTCCTTAACGTTCCCTTTTTCGCAGATACATTTTCCTTGAAGTATTGTAGTAATTGCGGAATTGTCAAGATTTTTCAATAAAGTGTTGTAGTTATATACCCTGCTTGAAACTGGCTTATTGTACTTAAAAATAACCCGTATTGGAGTATAACTTTTTTCTTTTACACTGTTTTCAAGCACTATTTGTTTTAGAGTGGGTGAGTTAAAAATTCTATGGAAAGGTAGGTTGTTAAATATTCTACTATGAAAATTGATAATGATATTATGGAAACTAACAGGCTGCCTTTTAACTTCGCATGTATTATAATGGAAATGCGCTAATAAGCAGAAAACCAAAAATCTAGTTTTATTAGTAACAGTTCGTAAAAAATCACCACTGACAGATTGTTTGATTATCTCTTTTATTTCTGTTTTTCGTAGGCTTTTAAGTAATCTATAATACTGTAATGGTTCAAGTTCACATTCGTTATTTATGATTTCATTAAGCACTTGCTCATATGAATAACTTTTTCTCTTCTCTTTTTTACTTTTCCTTTTTCCTCTATTATCTCTTTGTTTAGTGATCTTTAGGGAAAAATATGGAGGTTTGTTATTAAGTGCTAGAGGGTTACTGATGTTTGTAATGTTACCGTAGCCTTTGATGTTATCATTTAACCCAAAAGGATAGGGTGTCATTAGTAACTTTATCCAGAATATCTCTTTGTCTAGTAAAGTAAACTTGTCATTGGTATTTAATGAGTCCAATATTGTAACAGTGACCCCTTTATTACATGTATAAAAATGATCATAAAGTACTGTATGCTTTTTATGTGAATAGATGTTTGTAAGATGTTCTCCAATTCTGTCTTTAGTCCTTCTGGTTGTCATTCCTACATATTGTATACCACATTCATTACAAGTTAAACAATAAACAACATTATTTGTGTTGCAATTAGTGTTGACCTCTTTATAAGTATTGATATATAGACCAGTAACATGTGATACAATGTAATTTTCCGTGTTAGTAACATTGCAGGTTCTACATATTCTATTACATTTGCATCCTTTATTGTCATTACCAAAATTGATTAGATGATAGCGATTGGCCTCTCCCCTTACCTTTTTGAATTGAGTTTTTGTATAGTAGCAGGGAGCAGTGTTTTTTAAGTTGTTTTTTGACCTACGATCTAAGCGCATGGCAGGCCAAAACCACACGCAGAGAGGAACCTTCCCTACGGGTTCGGCGGGGCTGCCGCCGGGGGTAGACACTCCCCAAAGTAAGACTAGCGCTGGGGGCGCCAAAAATTGGTCCCTCTGCCACTTTTGACTTGCTTAACCCCGTCAGCGCCAATCCCCTATTTTTTTAAAGAGGTATGGCCCTCTTTTCAAGAGGTTAATATACCACTTGACATGAGTAAATAGTGTGTTAAAGGGATTGAATAGTGAAGAAGAAGAAATAAGAAAAAATAGGGAAAAAGAAAAAGGAAGCAAAAAATGAGAAGCCAATCACCAATAAAGGATGCAACATATACGACGTTAATTGGGTTAAGATTGAAAATTGATGAGAAATTAAATGGCGAAGATTATGCATTTTTGTGAGAATGAAGTTGCATAACATATAGGTGGAGGTGCAAAGTAGGTCCTACCAGGAAGATATATGTGATACTCATAACCGTACTAACAAGAGAATAGGCCCAAAAAACTGGTCTTGTGGATTAATTCACATTTAGTAGGATTGTCCCATTTCTATTCTTCATCACGTTAGTTTACTGTTTGTTAGTTTCTATGTTTATCTGTGTCTACTTCCTTACTTGTATATCAAATTAAATAGGTAAGAGACACCTATCACCAGTAAGAACTAGTAATCTTATGAGGTTGAAGTAGCAAGAGAGATTAAAGTAATACTCACTTGGTCCTGGTTTTATACCAAATGGGTGCGCGAAGTTGTTGAAATTTCGTATTGTCCTGACCATTATTGGATCCCTGACTTATTACTTATCTGCAATCAAACACATTAATATGGCGTGCAATGATATTTATAACCCGACTAGTAAGTAGTGACAAGGAATCAGATTGATAACAAGTGAATGTTACTACATGTTGAAGTAGGAAATGATATATTGGAAATGTCCGGAAGTACTAAACAATCCAACAATCATACTATATTCGATGTATGTCATTACACGAAATCATGTATAATGTCAGCAAGAAACGAACATGTATGTTTATGAATGTAGAAAAATACTTGGTGCCAACAACACTATATAGCTTCTGATGGACGAGGAAGGAACGGGAAAGTATGCAATAGTGAGAGGGTATGAGAGTGTCCATAGAGCCCTCATAGAAAATCAATAATCAATAAAATAGTCATATTTTACGATTTCACATCATCATCTAATGATAGGTGAATAAACAATGGAACCGTACCCTCTTTACATTCAATACTGTTCTCTGACTATTAGGTAAGAATCCATGTGTACTAGAAGCCACTGAACAAATGTAAAAAAAATTACATATTATTTATAATTAGGAGCGCGAGAAGTGGTTCTAAAAGCGAGCGTACGATGCGAGCATTATCGAGCGAGCCCACCTACTTGACCACCGAAGAATCAATGTCTTCGATCGCAATGGGAGGTTTCCCGCCGAATCTCGATATCCAGGGTGGTCGGGAACCTTCTTTGAACTTTGGACCCCAGGGGGTATAAAAGGCCCCGGAAGGAGAACAAGGGGCTCTCTTCTCCACCTCCTCGTCCTCTTATTCGTTCCTAACACTGTTCTTGTTTGCTTCGTTCTAATAAATCTTTATGCGATTGACTATCAAGCGAACACCAATACGACGAACGACTATATATTTATATAGACATATATACTTTCATTATATATAGAACCGCGTGGCCCCATTTTATGGTGCATCGGGGATCGACATTAGGACCGAAGAACTTGCAGGTACTAATTTGTACTTTTCTTATATTTTGAAAATTGGATTTAGTTTTTATTGATTTTCCTCCTACACTTTTTTTGCGAATTTTTGTGGATGCGCACACTACGCGATTCTGCATTGCGATATGAGTGGCCCTAATACTTTGCGATACCAAAAGAGTTTACTGACGAGGTACAAGAACACGCTACATAGGGTGATAAGCGAGAATGGTCCAGCGCTAGCGAGCGAGAATGCGCTTAAACCCTTGGTAGAGGCAATCACAGCGATCAGGGAGAGCGCTAACCTCTTGGCGACCACCCTCAATGGTTTTGTCCAAACTCTAGACCAGCTCGCGGGACCCACCACAGAAGACCAACAGAAGGCGAACCAAGGTTACATTGATGAAACTCTGGACGCCTTAGAGGAGGCAGAAGAACTGCTAATACGCATGGAAGCCAAGAAGGCAGGGCTTCAATCGATAACTTCCGAAGTGGGAGTTTCAGGTGGAGGGCACCTGAACGGGAAGCCGGAGCTGCCTACGATACCGATACCCACCTTTGATGGGAAAATGAGCGAGTTCGAGAATTTTTGGGCCCTGTTTCGCGCAAACATCCATGATCAAAATCTAAGCGGGTTACAAAAGTTCAACTATCTTCTACGAGCCTTAAAAGGGAGCGCCAAAGATGCCATACGAAGGTATCCCATTACAGAAGAGAACTATGCGGCAGCGCTTGAACTGCTGCATTCCAAATATGGCGATAAAGCGAAATTAGTGCGAAATCTTCAAAGGCGAATGGAAACAGCTTCAGCCAAAAACAATCAAATAAGCGAGCAACGTAATCTGCTCGAGTATCTTATATCCCTGACAGCACAGCTGAGACAACAGGGAGTCACCCTCAAGGGATCTTTTATTTCGCAAAAAATACTAGCGAAATTCAATGTGGACTTGCAGCGAAGACTCCTCAAACAAAGGGTCAGCCAGGATTATGACGAGGATAGCTGGACGGTGGAAGACATTTTGAATGGCCTGGATGTGTTGATAAAAACCGAAGAAAGGGTTGCTGAAATGATTCAGGAAAACGACCCTTGCAGGCAACGATTTTCAAGAGCGACAGAATCGAAATTTAGCAAATCCGAAAGCAGGGCGCAGTGCGTTTATTGCGGCGCACACGACCATAATGCTCTACGCTGTCCAAAAGTTACAACTGCTGAGGATCGGAAAGAATTCATGAAACAGAAAAAACTTTGTATGAACTGTGCAAGGCGCAACCACTTTCTGCGAGAATGTACAGGGACCGGATGCGCCAAGTGTGGAGGCGAAAAGCACCACTATTCACTGTGTCCTAAAAGACTACAGGAGTTGAAAGGGACACCAGCTGGAGCAAATTCGCAAAGAAATTCCAGCACAGCGCCGCTGTCCAAACAGGGACGCGGAAGATCAGGGAAACACCCAACAAGGGTAAGTGCGCAGTTAACAGAGAGCGCAGAACCCGAAGAAATTTTGCAGGCAGCCACATCGCATTCAGGCGAAACACCCAATGGTGGAGAACTGTCTCAAGTTTATCTCTTAACGGGTCAGGCCCGTGTGGAGAATGCGAAGACTGGAAAATCGCAAATGGTCCAAATTTTGTTGGACACAGGGGCCGACAGGTCTTTCATTCAGGAAAGGTTGGCTGAAAAACTGGACCTACCTGTAGTTAATTCTATAGAACTATCAGTCCACACCTTCGGAGCGAAGACGCCTAGGAAGAAAAAGTATGATGTCACAACCTTGAAAATATGGGACAGACAAAACAATCCGTTGGATCTAGTCCTATGTAAGGCGGATGTTATATCCGGTAAAGGAAAACAGTTGGCGCTCAGTGCAGAAGACATGAAGCAGTTGAAGAGCGAAGGCATTCAACTGCCTCGGTCAGGGAGCATTATCAAACCAGAGATCTTGCTTGGGTGTGACCAGCTATGGGCCCTCTTAGAATTTCCAGGAAAACAGCACAGGCTTCCTTCAGGTCTCCATGCAATACCGTCAAGGTTAGGATACCTCATAACGGGGAAAGCGTGGAAAAATTCCCAAAATGCACAGAACGAAACGGTTTGCGAGCACATGGAGAGCGAGTCAGATATAATATTCCGCCAGAGCGACGAAAGATCAGAGTCTGAAAAATGGGATCAGTATTGGAGTCTTGATTCGGCGGGTATTCAGGAATACCCCGGTCCGATTAATACAGAGAAGGCTTCAGTTGCGAAAAAAGTTCAGGAATTTTTCAACGATACTATAGAAAAACGGAGCGATGGATACTACGTCAGGCTCCCATTCAAGGATAACTGCGGAACACTTCCTGATAATTACAATCTGGCGTTTAGGCGATTATGTAGCGTTCTGCAATCCTTGCGAGAGAACCCGGACCTTCTGGCCCAATACGAGGAGGTCTTCAGAAGCCAGCTAGACAAAGGGATCATCGAAGAGATTGAGAGCGACCCTAACAAATGCGACTCCCATGTGACTCACTACCTGCCACACCAAGCGGTAGTGACGCCACAAAAAGAAACCACAAAGTTGCGAGTGGTCTTTGACGCCGCATCGCATTACAGGAACTGCCCGTCCTTAAATGAGGTACTGCACCAAGGCGACAAGCTTCTCCCAGATCTCTACGGTATGCTGCTGCGGTTTCGATTGGCCCCCTACGTTGCGATTGCGGATGTTGAGAAGGCGTTCTTGCAAGTGCGCTTAAACGAATGCGACAGAGACGCCACACGCTTCCTTTGGGTGAGGAATACGGCATTACCTGCGGAAGGAGATAATCTCGTTGCCTACCGGTTCACTAGGGTAACCTTCGGGCTAAATGTATCGCCGTTTCTACTAGCTGGAACAATCAGGTTCCATCTCTTGCACCACGTAAGCGACACTTCCCTAGCAGAAGAAATAAAAGACAATCTGTATGTGGACAATTTGATTTTGACAAGTGATTCGCCAAGGGCTATTGTGGACAAATCATTAGCTGCGAGTGCGATATTTGAGGACATGAAAATGAACTTGCGCGAGTTCCTGTCGAATGGTCGCGAACTGCAACATGCGCTTCCAACTTTGAAGTACGCAAAAAATCCGAAGCAAAAGGTGCTTGGCGTTTTGTGGCACTCAGATGCCGACACACTTTTGCAAGCGTGCAAGTTGCCTACAATTCAGAAGGTTACCAAGCGCACCGTAACCAAACAGATAGCGTCCATCTACGACCCATTAGGTTGGCTGGTGCCGCTTTTAATAAAAGCAAAACTTTTCCAACAAGGGCTGTGGATGCAAGGTTATGAGTGGGACCAAGAGCTTTCCACGCAGCGAAAATCAGAATGGGAAAAAATTGTTTCAGAGATCGAAGGATACAATCGGCAATTTCCTCGATATCTACCCATCCTTGAATGCTGTCAGCTAGCACTTTTTTCGGATGCGAGCGAAAAAGCAATGGCAACATGCGCGTACCTCATTTCAGAAAGTTCTTCAAACCTACTGATGGCAAAGTCCAAACTTCCATCTATAAAAGCGAAAACCACAATCCCAAAATTAGAACTCAATGCATTGACTATGAGCGCGCGCCTAGCCCTATCTGTCTTGAAATCTATGAGCAAAAACAGAAAAAACGTCGCTCACATAGTTTTCCTGTCAGACTCCCAGATCGTACTGAGTTGGATCAAGAAGTCTCCCAATTCAAGCGAGTTGGGAGTGTTTGTCAGCAACAGAGTGAAGGAAATTCACTCGATAGTACAGGCCATAGAAGATATAGGGCCAAAGGTACTTTTTGGGTATATCTCAACGAGTACAAACCCTGCAGACGCGGGCACCAGAGGCCTGTCTAAGGGTGAGCTCCTAGACAGCAACTGGTGGAACGGCCCAGAGTTCTTAATCACGCCATTTTCAAGTTGGAAGGAATCACTTTTTGCGCTGTCTTCAGATATCCCGTTGCGCGTAAATGCGATGAGTTCGGAAGTAGTGGAATGGTTACCACTGTCACGCTACGGCTCGCTAGTAAAGGCGGAACGAGTGATGGCATGGGTATTGAAGTTCCTCAGGCGACTCATCAAAAGGCTCTCGAGAGAACGAGTGCAAAATTTCACGGAAGAGTTTCCAGAGCTTAAGCTCACGGACGGTCTCGGAAGTGAAATCATTAATGGCACGGATATGGAACAGGCGAAAAAAGCACTAGTGCGAGTACACCAGAGAAGCTTTTCACCTTCCTATCTTAAAACCATGGACAACACACTCAAATTGTTCAAAGGTAGCGATAATATCTGGAGAGCGAGAGGGAGACTGGGCTGCTCAGACCTCAGCGAAGAATCCAAGTTCCCCATACTTATTGCTCCTAAGTCAGATCTAGCGCGCCTAATAATACAAAATGCTCACGGAAAATACCACAGTGGGATTGCGCATACGATGTCAAACGTGAGGGAATCGTTTTGGATTCCACGCTTGCGCCAACAAGCTCGTACTTTCATCAATCAATGTGTTCGGTGTAGAAGGTTTAACGGGGCACCGTATCAGTACCCAGCTATGCCAGACCTGCCCGCACATAGGGTGCAAAAAAGTCGCCCGTTCGAGCATATCGGGTTAGATTTTTTCGACCTGCCTGAGGTACGAGAGGAAAGTTCCCTTCTCAAAGCTTACGGGTGCATATTCACCTGTGCAGTAACCCGCATGATCCATATTGAGGTAACGCGAAATATGGGAACCGAAGCGTTCATCAAAGCATTGCGACGATTTTTTGCGCGTCGCGGCGTACCGGCTTCGATAACGTGCGACAACGCACCGACATTTTTGCTGACTTCAGAAATTTTAGCGGATATAGTAGCGAATGCAGCGACATCGGACCTCATAGCGAACCATGCGATCAAATGGAACCATATCACTCCCAAAGCGCCGTGGCAGGGCGGCTTTTATGAGCGCCTAATTCAGTCAATCAAGCACGCGTTTTATAAGGCAATAGGAAGAACAAAATTAACTATGGACGACTTGGTTACTGTGATGACAGAAATTGAAGCGAGCTTAAACACGCGTCCTCTAACTTATCAGGAATCGGACCTTGAACAGTTCTCAGTGATTCGCCCCATTGATTTTGTGCAGAAGGGGTTAACAATCAGTTTCCCATTCGATCAGCTGCGACTACAACACAGCGATAGCGACTACGTTCCTCCTGAGCGAGTAGCAGCGATTCAAACGCGTAAACAAGCAGAATCCGCTCTGCAAACTTCTTATTCTGCAACTCAGCAAATATGGAAGGAGTGGCACGCTCAATATCTGCTTAGCCTTCGCGAACAGCATCGTAAATGGATGAACTCCAGCCGCAGCTCAAAATCAGCCCCCCACGTCGGAGCAATCGTGCTTTTGGTTGACCCAATCCAGTCGCGCAACGAATGGAAGTTAGCACGCATAACAGCGATCCACAGAGGCGACGACAATGCGGTTCGCGAAGTGTGCCTACTCACAGCTACAGGGCGAACAATTAAAAGGCCTGTTAATTTGATCATTCCTTTAGAACTCGATTGCGACTTCGTTGATCAAGAAAGCGATCCCCCGCTACAGTCAGATTATCAAGCGCCACTAGTTCAGAATCGTTACAATTTGCGAAAGCGCCTTCCGGTAAGTTATCAAGATTGTATCGAAACAGCTGAACATTAAGCAAAATTATTAGCGAGACTTCGATTCTGCGAAAAGAAAGTTTTTATGAAGTGCCTACTTTGATTAGCAGCGACTCGACTGAAAAAAGCCGCGCTGTGCAATTTGAGAAAGTGCGAAAAAGAAACCTTATATGCAAGTGTTATTACGTTTTCCAGTCATTTGATCAGTGATATCAACTTAGACAGAGCGCATCGAAGACTAGAACTCTTAGGTGAAGTGATTCTAACGTGCACTATACGCAGATGTTCTTTGAATTGCGACTGTTTTATGTGCGCCTGGTTTTGATTCTATATTGCGAGTGCGAAAGATTGCGAATATACGGTAATCAAGACCATGGAGCGAGCCATAATGACTTTAAGGCACGATGCGACAGAAAAAAAATTCATTGCGAAATTGTCACATTGTAGCTGACAAAAATGTTTCAGCCATGAGCTCCTTCAATCGATTCGATGAGTACAGAAAGCGAAAATACGACTACAAGAATCTTCTGCGAGCGCTTCCGAAGCTTCCGGAGCCGGAGGCTCTTCTAGAGAAGATTGTGGACACCTGCCAAAACGTGATGTACCAGTGCGCCGTTCTGGATCAGCTACACGATGAAATTCCCTTTTTTTCCCAGACCAACGAACCCTGGGGGGAATTGGAGCGAGACGCGCACCTCATCGAGCAAAAAGCCGAAAACTGCGAACTCCGGTTCCTCCTCCTCCGTCAAACCCTAAGGACCCTTCAGGCCTCACCTCCAATCCTCATCGCCACAGGAAAGATCTCGCAGACAGCTTGGGAATCGATGCAAGCTCAACCACAAGTCTACTATGACGCTGAAGGACGCGAACACAAGCTGACGATCGAACCAGACACTATGGAGGCTATCATTGCCGATCAGTTAAAAGCCATCAGTGAACTGTATATGACGATTCGGAACATGCGAGCAACTGCACTGAATGAAGAGAGAGCGATGCGCGATACGAGTCAAGAGACGACGGCTAAGACGATATCCTCGATGCAGCATACGCTCGAGGAAATGTCGACTCAACTAAATCAGTGGCAGGCACAAACGAGAGATTATGCCGAAAAACAGCGGATGGCAGACGATGAATATATGGAGATAGAAGAGCCGGAACTCTCCCCAGATGAAGCTGAATCGTTGGACTACACAAGACGAACTTTGCTGGCGAAGATTCACATGCTCGAGATACGTATTCACTCGTTGGAGCAAGAAAAACCGTGCCCATTGAGAGAATATGTCACCGGCGTAAACAAGAGTAACGAAGCCAAAATGCGATGCCCATTTTGTGGACTTCGAGGCAAGCATTACAGTGATTCATGTCCTAAAGTACGAGATAGCGCTCGAAGGAAAATCCTCCTCAAGAGGCAGCATTTATGTGAGACTTGTCTCGAAATGGGATGCATGGCGGATGACACTTGCACGAAGTACTGGAACCGCTGTTTCCATTGCGACCGCATGGGACACCACTCAGCCATATGCGAATGGCCAGACAAGGCAGAGGAGATCGAGGACGAAATCAGAGCGACAGTGCGAGAACTGTCGAAGGCGAAGAAGAAAGTCTCAGCCATATGCAGAAGGCTCGGCATCAGGGACGACTTCTGAAGCAGGACAACTTCTGCAGCCTTCCCCCCCCCTCCCCTCCTTTCCCACCTCTGCCCACCTCTGCCCACCTTCAATCCATCTTCCCTGACCCTCAACCCAACACTCGAACACCCTTCATTCCCCACCCCACGATCCTGCTCCGTCCACCGTTATACCCATCCCTCCCGGAGGCCGGAGTATCGCGGAGCGCGAGAAGTGGTTCTAAAAGCGAGCGTACGATGCGAGCATTATCGAGCGAGCCCACCTACTTGACCACCGAAGAATCAATGTCTTCGATCGCAATGGGAGGTTTCCCGCCGAATCTCGATATCCAGGGTGGTCGGGAACCTTCTTTGAACTTTGGACCCCAGGGGGTATAAAAGGCCCCGGAAGGAGAACAAGGGGCTCTCTTCTCCACCTCCTCGTCCTCTTATTCGTTCCTAACACTGTTCTTGTTTGCTTCGTTCTAATAAATCTTTATGCGATTGACTATCAAGCGAACACACGACGAACGACTATATATTTATATAGACATATATACTTTCATTATATATAGAACCGCGTGGCCCCATTTTATGGTGCATCGGGGATCGACATTAGGACCGAAGAACTTGCAGGTACTAATTTGTACTTTTCTTATATTTTGAAAATTGGATTTAGTTTTTATT